CAAGAGGGAGTTCAGCCAGGTAAAGGGAACTACAGGGGAAAGATCACCTCGAAGTTTAAGGTCTCTGAAGAGGGGCGCCTGGGTGGCTCGGTCGGTTAAGTGTCTGACTCTTGATTTTGGCTCAGGTCATGATCTCTCCGTTGTGAGATAAAGCCCCAAGTGGGGCTCTGTGCTGACAGCTTGGGTTGGATTCTGTCTCTCCCTCTCCCCCACTTACTCCCTCTCTCTCAAAATAAATAAATAAACATTAAAAAAAAAAAAAAGATCTCTGAAGATCCCATGCTTGAATCCCATGAGAGAAATGCCTGCTGGCCTTAACAGGGTGAAACCATTCTAGAACAGGCTAGCAAAGACCTTTCCCTCCTCTGTCCCCCGCTTCTTCCCCCGCCTTCTCCAGCTCTTTTCTAGGGTCTGAAAGGGCCACTAGTGTGCTGGGGAGAAGGCAACAAGAAAGGGAGAAGAAGCAGATCCTTTCCTCCCAAAAGGCTACCTGTCGACCCTTCCAGGGAAGGGCAGGGACTCACCTTCCCAGAAGGTGGAACTGTGGACTAACATGTGGGATTGGGCCTTCTGGATTCTGAATCAGGACCATTTTGCTGCTCAAAGGACCATAAGGCTTTGAATTGTCTAAGAATTACCAGGTTATGGGCCGGCCTGAGTTTTCTCACCCAGGGACAGGAGAGGAGCTCTTTCTACAGGGCAGTTTTAAAGAGACAATGGAAGACAGGAGCAGAGTTGCTTTTATGTTTATATTCTATGCTATGAGTCTGGCTTCTTCAAGGTGCCAGTTCCACCTCTCCATGCTGGCCCCCCAGCCAAACCAGAAAACATGACATTCCTTGAACACTCCAGGTAGAGTACAATTCTGCCTTTGTGCTCTGGTTCCCCGTGGTCCTTAACTCCTCTTCCCACTGTATTTTATTTTTACCTCTTTTATTAGAGGGCTGTTTATACTTGTCTGATCATTCATTTAGACTAAAAGTGCTTGAGGGCCAGAACCGTGTCTTCTTTGCCTCTGTATCCCACATAGCCTCTATCATAGTACTCAGTATGCAGTGGACATTTAAAAAATGGCGGAAACAGCCACATGATGGATGAATGACATAGTCCCGTTCAGTAATTACTAACACGTACTGTTTGTGAAAGCAGAAAAGACAATATTATTGCGTTGTCATTGCTTTTTCCCCTCTGCCAAGCAGAGTTTAAATAGGACTTACCTAATTTGAAACCTACTTCTCCTATGCTACCAGGCATACACAGTGTTCTAAATACTCTTTTTTTTTAATGTTTATTTATTTTTGAGAGAGAAAGAGACAGAGCACAAGGGGGGGAGGGTCAGAGAAAGAGAGGGAGACACAGAATCCGAGCAGGCTCCAGGCTCTGAGCTGTCAGCACAGAGCCCCACATGGGGCTCGAACTCACAAACTGTGACATGGGGACCTGAGCCCAAGGCGGGTGCTTAACCAACGGAGCCACCCAGGTGCCTCTCTAAATACTCTTGAAGAGGAAATAATCACCTTTTTATGGGCATATGTTGTCATTTTTTTGTTTTTAAAATTTTAAGTAAATGACAAAATATCTATATTTATCATAGAAAAATTACAAGATACAAATGAGCATTGCAATAAACAGTCACCTTCAACCCACGTCCCACATATAACCTACTGTTAACACTCTTGTCTTTCCTCTTTTTTCCATGTGCCAATTTCTTCCTTGGAATAGCAGAATAGGTCACTTGGGGTAAAATTAGTATTTGTCCTATTATTTTAGGAAGACATTCTAGAAGGATTTACAATGCACGTGGAGAAGGAAGATGATGGGAATGAGTAAACCCTGGATGGGTAGGCATGTTTCTGGGTGTGGGAGTCCAAGCAAAGAGTGAAACGATTAATTCAACAATTGTTTTGTCAGGATGCCCTAGGCAGAGGGGAGAGAGAGGACCAGTGGGTATCTCTAGCTGACTTGGGATCTGTCCCCAAGTCAGCCTGCCTTCTGCCTCCTACGCTAGCCTGTCCAGGCACCAGCTTGAGATGGGATTAGTATGTGGGGGAGCCTAAGCTATAACTTAAGAGCAGCTTTTCTTTCTTACTTGCCTCGGGTGCAGATTAAATTTGGGGGAAGGGGCTAAACGTCAAAGTGTCGCAAAAACTTTATAGCAGCGGTTTTCGGTTCGGGTGATTTTGCCCCCTCCCCGCAGAGGATATTGGCAACGTCTGGAGTTATTCGTGGTTCTCACACCTGGAGGATGGGTGGTACTGGTATCCAGTGGGTAGAAACCAGGGATGTTGCTAATCATCTTAGAATGCACAGCACAGCCTCCCAAAATAAGAAGTATCTGGCCCCAAATGTCATCAGTGCTGAGGTTGAGAAACCCTGCTTTAACAACAACAACAACAACAACAAAACCATTTGGCAATAATGCTATTTCATGGAAGAGCGAGAAGCACCAAGATATTTCTTATATTATGCCTCACTTGCCCCCTGAGATGTCAGTTTGAAAACTCTTCTCTGTGAGTCTCGAGTCTATCAGGTAGATTAAAAATGTAAAGGTTTTTTTTTTTTTTTATCAGTAATCAGCATTTTGTGCAGTTTTGAAAGGTCAAGAGTTATCATAAGAAAGGGCAGACAACACTTCACGTAAATCATACTTGAAATTATCCCAAGTAGCTTTCAAAACCCGATACCATTCAAGTCCGTGGTTCACCTAGCCACGGGATTTTTAACCCAGGGACAACGCTGGGGAAAGGGGATGGGAGAAGATAAAGAGCTACTTTCTAGCTTTGCTCTTTATATCATTGAGGTTCCTTTTAAAAATTAAGTGAATCCTTTGCTGCCATGTTTTCGTGTTTGTCCTCAAGCCTTGGAATGACTTGCAGGGTTCGGAGACGTCACTGCCTACCTGTGGCACTGACCCACTGTTTGTTTCCTAAATATTTAGTACTCTGAGGGAACACAAAGAGGGAAACGTGTGTTGTGACGGCACCTATGAGTGAGGTAGCTAGGTAGCTAGAGGTCACAGTGGCCGTCAGGTCACCAAATCCCTAAGGGGTGGCCAGGGGGTAGAGTCAGCACTCCAGAAAGAGGCAGATGGACTGCAAGTCAAGGCAGAGAAGCTAGGTGTGTAACTTTGAAAGCTTAATCTTCTCTTTTCTTTTCCTTGCCATGACTGAATCGATGAACTTGGTTTTTATGAGTTTCACAGATGTACCGAGAAACAGCAGCTTGGCAAGAATAGGGAAAGGGGGGAGGGATCTAAATTAAATATGACAGTTGCTCGCAATTTAGTTGCTGACAAAAACACAAGTCATTTTCCCTGAAAAGCATGTGTAGTATGTCAAGAGGAAAAAAGAACAATTAGCACACTTCTTATGTAAGCTTTTATTGACAACACTACATTAACTGTAATCATTTAATTAGAAATGCTCTTCTGTCTTCTTTCCTACAACTCAATAAACTGTGCATGTACTTGGCTCTCACTTTTCTCCTGCTTTGTAAGGAAAGCATAGTTTTCTCTAACCACCCCAGCTCACAGCAATGACCTTGGCTTGTGTCTACATGACTCCACTTTCTCGTCTTGCTAAGGTCAGGGCGCCACAGCAGAATTCCATAGACTGGGTGGCTTATAAATGACAAAAATTTCTTTCTCACAGATCTGGAGGCTGGGAAGTCCAAAATCAAGGAGTTCAAGTATTTGCTGTCTGGGAGCTCTCTGGGGTCTTTTTTATAAGAGCACTTATCCATTCGTGAGGGCTCCACTCTCATGACTAATCACCTCGCAAAGGCCCCGCTTCCAGATTCATATTGGGGATGAGGTTTCAATATATTAATTCAGGGGTGGAGTGGGGCACATTTTCAGTCCAAAGCACTGTCTCTGTTTTCACATGCCCTTTTCCACTGTGTCTCGTCCTCCTCTATAAGGACACTTATCACTGGATTTAGGGCCTCCCTGGATGATCTAGAACAATCTCATCTTGAGATCTTTAACTTAATCATATCTGCAAATACATTTTTTCCAAATAAGGTGGCATTCACAACTTCCCGAGATTAGGATGTAGACATGTTTTGAGGGGCCACTATTTGCTATCTATCTGTCTCCTCTTTTTTTTTCTCCCAGAATGCTGAGTACGCTGTAGTTACTAGTAAATGCTTATTGATTTGAAAGTGTGCTCATTTTAAAGTGACCCAAATTAATGGTCTGATTGCCTGCACACTTTGTTTCAAAGATGCTGTCATTAGCTCTAAGGACTGCACGGACATAAAGACACTCTGACTTTACAAGGCGAATGTATGTTTCGGACTAAAGATCAAACATCTAATAGTCACACCTAAAGCAACAACAGTCAGTAAATTGAACCATTATTATAACCTGTAAGATTGCTATTTTTCTCAGCGTCGATCCTTGGGCTACAATTAACTTCCTAGGTGGTCTTGAGGATTACTAGCTCCCAGCAAGGTATAAATGTCTCAGTTGAATCGACCCTATTTACCCTTTATTAATTTAGATGCCCTAGAAGAGAGAGAAGAAAAATTGGGCAGAGCTTTAAAGATAGAGGGAGACAATCGTAGTATTAATATGCTTGCTTTTATTTGATTTGCTGAAATTGCGTAAGTTCTAAAACAAGGACAGGCATTCACCATGTTCTCCTTAGTTCCGCAAGCGGCGTGGCAGAGAGGATGGAGTGCATGGGGGGAGTGGTCAGGAGACCCTGGGCACGGAACCTGAGTGCTGGGTCTGGAGACCCAGGCCTGGTTCTGCTGCCGCTGCTGTGGCCTTGGGCAAGTCACTTCATTTCTCTGGGTTTCCGCTCAGAAGACCTTTTCAGGGAACCAGGTGGGCTGGACGAAGTAGTTTTTGAAACTGTGTTTCTTCTGAGCTGTGGTGCTCTTCTAACCTGCTCCCAGACGCAATCCTCATGGTTCTCTCTGTGATGAGAAACTGGATTTGGTTCAGAATTTTAAAACCGTGGTGTTCTTGTTTCTCCTCGTCCACCTGCTTGCAGCGGAAAGCTACAAGGAAGCTCAGATGGTGAAGATTAAAGAGGAGCCCATGGAGGTTGACATCCAGGACTCGCATGTCTCGGTATCACCCAGCCGGAATGTTGGCTATAGCACTTTAATCGGGCGAGAGAAAACCGAACCCTTACAGAAGATGCCAGAGGGCAGAGTGCCCCCAGAGAGAAACCTCTTCAGTCAGGATATCTCTGTGAAGATGGCTTCCGAGCTTCTCTTTCAACTGTCAGGTATGTTTCTGCGCAGAAAAATGTCAATAATTGGGAATAATTGGAAGGAAAGCCACTCTAACAAAGCAAAAAACACCTGCATTATAGATTTGTCAGACAAAAATCAATTTTGTTACTTTAACACCCATGCTGCCACTCAAACTAACGGTTAATAAAACGTTGCCAAGTAGAACTCCTGCCAAACTTTCGTTAATAAATAGTTAAGAATCATTTGAAATTAGAACTGTATTCAATTCTGTGCAAAGGATCCCTGTTGTCTAGGCGAAACATCTCACCTCTAATTTTGCTTAGGCAGTTGATCTGATTAGCAGCCTTTTTTTTTCTCCCCTAACGTTCAAAAGATAAACTTCGATTTACTCCAACAGTGACTGAATTACCATGAATTCCAAATTAGTGTGGTTTGAATTAAGGAGATTGTACTGTTTCTAGCCAAAAGAAAAAAAAAATCAAGGAAAAGGAAAAGATGAAAATATGAGCACTCTTTCCAGCTATAGCCTTATAGAGCATTTTCTGTAAACCAATGTTTCTACTTTGAATACTTGGAGTTTACAAGTGTAGGAATTACCAGCTCTGATAGAACAGACAAGGGTCCTATTTGTTTCCTTTGTTAACTCTTTCAGGCTGCATATTGTTTGTCCTTAACAAATTTAATATGCTGTTATTATTTGGACATGATTGAGATTGGAGATACCTAGACATACAGGATTCAGATTTGTAAGAAATACACATACCTTGTCGGTAGTCAAGCATTGGCTTACATATGGAAGTTCATGCATCAGTAAAGTTTGTTACTAATGTTTGATAAACTCTGTTTGTTATGGATAACATATTCAAAACACCATGAGATGCCTCATTATTTAAGCATTCACTTGTTTTCCCCGCTAAGAAAAGTATCGGGGAAGAGAAAAGAAGCTGCTAGAATCTGCATGCCATCATGATAGTTCACCTTCTTGTTAGCCTGGTAACACACCCCAGTGCTTGAAACTATCAGTTGGTCCTGAAAACGGTGACCTCCCAGTTCTCGAACAAGGATTGTATCTGTGCAAAGTTCTGCAGTAACAGAAATAGTTAATTCTGTAAACTTAACGGGACACACAGATCTCTGCAAGCTCCCAAAAGCTCCAAATCATACAAGATGCATTTTTTTTTTTTAAAGCAGGCTGAAAGTGTATCTAAAAACAATGTAACTTTGGGGGCGCATGGGTGGCTCAGTCCATTAAGCATCCGACTTTGGGCTCAGGTCATGATCTTACAGTTCATGAGTGCGAGCCCCACATGGGGCTCTGTGCTGACAGCTCAGGGCCTGGAGCCTGCTTCGGATTCTGTGTCTCCCCTCTCTGTGCCCCTCCTGTGCTCGTGCTCTGTCTCTCAAAACTAAATAAACGTTTAGTTTATTTATTTATTTAGTTTTGAAAATTACTTAGCAGTTAAAATTTGCACAAGTGAGGCCAGTGTGGTTCTTTTCAGAAAGTGTCTGTCTCTAACAGTACATTATCACTGTCTACTATCAGCGAAAAACTTTCTGTGGAAGAGTTCTCACCCTAGCACTGTCACTTACTGCCTGGGTGACCTCAGGCAAATCTTGGAGCCCCGATTTCCTGCTCTCTGAAAGAATACTGCCTCTGAATCCAAATTCACCTCCCCCCCCCCCCCCCCCCACCGTCGTTGTTCAGAGGACAGAAAGCAACTGTCCACACCCAGGTGTGCATGCCATAGCTTCAGACCAATGTTAGAAAGTATTGGACAGATGTTGTAAACCTTTCGTTTTCCCAAATATCTGGGAACTCCCTACGATCTGGAGTTTTTTGCTTGCCCTGCCATGGAAATCTGAAACCCTTGCAGAGTTGGCCAGGTTTTCTCCGCATACTTGAACCATTGAGAGCTGTGACAGGGCAGAATCCTCACATTTGAACTGGATCGGGAAGGCCGGAGTTCAACTTTTGTGTTCTTGAAAGCTAATTAAATAATTTCTGACAGCTGGTAGATACAGACCTCAAGACAGAGTAAGGGAGGGTGTACCTCTGCTTGGCTAATGATATTTTTTGTCCCTCGTGACATTTATCAGAATAAGCGCTTGATGACTGCAGAGCCCAGAGGTCTTGTGGCTGTTTTTATATCCCCTCTCACAAAGGGGCCTGACAATACGGAATGCTTAAAGGTTGTCATCAAAGTCAGAAGCGGAACACTTGCAACCACTGCAGTTTTCGTGCTGAATCAGAGGAAAGCAGAAATTTTCAGCTGGGGAAAGATACAGTAGAAATAGCTGTTTTTGTGCACATCTCTGTCTGTGTATATGTACTTATTAAGGCCTCATTAAAATCTGACAACACACTTAAAATTTGTTAGTAACTGTTTCCCTTTGATTGGTTTTTACTAAAATATTTTTGCGGAGGCTCTCTATATGCTTTTCATGATTGTCTTTGTGAGTAAGACAGTGAGGGTTTGCATACTTACAAAAGAAAACCGCAGGAGGGAAAAAGAAACGCTAAGGGAGTTTCTGCTTAAGCCTTAGAAGATACAAATTGAGTAAGAACGACCTGAAAGGTATATGTTTCATTCTTTCTCCTTACAGAAAAAGTGAGCAAAGAGAACAATCACACAAAAGAAAACACCATTCGGACGACCACCAGGTAGGTCATTTTATGCGGGGGGGGTCCCCTCAGAGCGCCCTCTGTGTGGGGCCATCAGGCTCCAATCACGTGTTGCACATTGGTCCCCAAGCTGTTTTCTCCCACGGGGTTCAAAGGAGTCATGCCCTTTGCCACCAGTTTGTGTTAAAAATTTGACAGAAACAACACAGAAAGGAAGGACACCAAGGGGGAGGACCACTAATATTTATCAAACATCTAAGAGCTGGTACTTGGCTGGGGAATTTTTCATATGTTCTCCTTTCTTATTCCTCACAGTAGTTTTGTGAAGTAGATAATATTCTCCTCTTTGCAGAAGTTTCTTGACTTGGGAGTTTAAACGGGCCGTGCAGCTGTAATTGGGAGCCGGGTCTGTATCTCAGGAAGGCCTCCCCCGCTCAGTCGGTAGACCAAGGTTTTACTGCAGCTGTGCTCCTGAGTAGCTCGGCAGCTGGGGACTGATAATTTGTCACCAAGGATATCACAGCATTGTGAGGAGGGCAGAAAAATTTAAAATTTTTTTTTCAACGTTTATTTATTTTTGGGACAGAGAGAGACAGAGCATGGACGGGGGAGGGGCAGAGAGAGAGGGAGACACAGAATCGGAAGCAGGCTCCAGGCTCTAAGCCATCAGCCCAGAGCCCGACGCGGGGCTCGAACTCACGGACCGCGAGATCGTGACCTGGCTGAAGTCGGACGCTTAACCGACTGCGCCACCCAGGCGAAAAAAATTTAAAGCAGAAGAAAATGCTTGAAAAGGCTACAGGAAAGCCATTATTGCTAACAGCTGAACATAAGGAAGCTGTCCATTTGCCAATGGCAGTTTGAGGAGGTCAGCCAGTGGCGCTGCTCCTCCCCATCCATTTGCCATAGGAAAGGTAGGGGTCCAGCCAGTGGTGGTGCTCCTCCCCGGCCTGGAAGGCCGTCCAGACCTGAAGGGTTCTGCGCAAGCTCCAACAAGTGCACACCCCACCCCTGCGGAAAAAGGAAACCCTGGGGGGAGGGGGGGGCGTGGAATGCGACCTCTAGCTTTGAAGGACCATTCCCCACCCCCACCCCAGGCCACCCCCCAGCTTCTGAGTTAGCCCAACATGCAGGCTTTACCGAATGAAATAGGAACAGAGACTAGGAGGTGTCAGCTACCAAGAAGGCTTTAAATGAAGGAACTTTGCTTTCCTGAGCAAAGGGAACAGTTGACCGGTTTTGTCTTTTTAATTCTTACAATGAAAGATAAATATGCTTTTCTTTTTGAGGCGGTATGAACTGACCATGGAGTCTCATCAGGCACATGAACAGTGCTCATTTGAACCTTAACCCGAGTTGTTGTTTTTTTTTCTTTTTAATTCTATGTATTGGAATTTAGAAATATCAAATATCAAACAGTAATTAAAACAGAGCAAGCTGGGGGCGCCTGGGTGGCGCAGTCGGTTAAGCGTCCGACTTCAGCCAGGTCAAGATCTCACGGTCCGTGAGTTCGAGCCCCGCGTCGGGCTCTGGGCTGATGGCTCAGAGCCTGGAGCCTGTTTCCGATTCTGTGTCTCCCTCTCTCTCTGCCCCTCCCCCGTTCATGCTCTGTCTCTCTCTGTCCCAAAAATAAATAAACGTTGAAAAAAAAATTAAAATAAATAAATAAATAAATAAATAAAACAGAGCAAGCTGGCCTCGCACGAAGTTCACGGCGCATTAGGGAAGGGAAACCTGCCGTAACAGACCAGAACAGTGGTGCTGGCCTTGTCTCTCTGTATAAGTACGCGGGTGGAAAACGGGGCTCGCGATCTTGTCTGCGCATTGTTTTGGGAAATGGGTCTGGGGGCTGGGAGGGCTATTTGTCTATTAAGTTAGTTGCTCAAACAGGAAATGTAAGCCGCTGCAGATTCCAGTGGACCTTCTGCATGTATTCTGAAGACCATCTAATAAGTCTTGTGTCCATGGGTGTAAACACGTGAAATTGTCCCGCTTGGGAGATACTGAAAGACAGCAGACGAAAAATAATAAATGTTAATTTTAATTTGCAGTCCTAGGTGTCTTGAAGTGCCATGAATCTAGGTTTCCTAGAAGCAGAGCCTGAGATAGGGATCTGGGAACGGGTTTTATTGAAGGAGTGCGCTCAGAGGACCATGCTGGGCCGTGAAGGGGCAGGAGAGGGAAGGGGAGGTTGTGGAGCAAGGACGCGGTTTTCACCGGATTCCAGCTTCAGCTGGATCCCACAGAGAATTCTGGAGCATGAATTGCACCATAGGGTAAAGCCTGCCTGGAGGCAAGGGGGCCGACTCTTTGGACCACCGCCCCTCGCCATACTATTCACTAGCTTCAGGTCACCTCCAGCCAGGGTTGAGTAGCCTCCTGGTTGCAGGGGCTCCAATGGCGAAGGCAGTTCTCTCGCTCCGCTCGCTGTTAGCAACCAGCACCGCCAGCCGCCTGCGGATGAGTGCGGTAATGCAGGAAAGGAGCTGTGGGCAGGACCCAACAGCACCCCCTGTGGTGGTTTTCTGCTGCATCTTTAGGATAAGCTAATATTTATGCAACAGAAAGGTGTGCTGCGAAGCCATGTTATTTAATGCTTTTCAGGTGTTCTCTGGGAAGAGTAAAAGGAGGTTTGAACCAGTCCCAAATGAGTGAAATGCGTCTCATAGTCTACATTTCCTTGGCTGGAGCTAGAGCATAATTATAGGATACAAGAAAAAATTTTTTTAGCCATTTGGCAAAAATGAAGCAATCCTTAAATTCTTCTCTTGCTGGGAGATTATGAGTAAGAAGAAATCCAAATGAGATCTTTTGCCCAAAGCAAAGTAGGGGGCTTGCTGTGAGCCCCTGACATGGTATAGTGTTCAGAAACCAGTGTTACAGAATTCTTGGTTTATTCTTCTATAGAATCCTTGGTGTGTTTTTATTTTTCCTTTGAGTAGGAACTTGTTCAATTAGCCTCTCCTCAAATAGATCTCTTTCTTACCTTCTCACCTCATTACTTCAGGCGGAACAGAATCAAGTGGCTTTGTGCCAAGAAATCCTCTTTAACTTCAGTTAACTGATAACAGGGATGGGGGGAAAATGCCAACTACCTCTCTTCTTTTTTGATTACTGTTTTAGAAGGAGCTCTTATTTTGCATGCACAAGGTCAGCTCATGGGGGTTTTGTTTTAAGGTATGATTTGCGATACTTTTCAAAAAAGATTGATATCAAGCCTCAAAATGTCCTTATCCCCAGATATTTAGGTAGTACTTAGTGGGATCTTCTATATTTTCCAGAAGAAGCTCACTGTCCAGAACATGGCTCCTGATTGCAGTCAAGATCAGAATCTGCCATGTTTGAGGGTTGCTAGGTACATTGAAGATAGTTTAACTGAGATCACTTCTTCCAAATGCCAGGGGTGCTTGAGCCCCCTCCACTCAGTGAGATCTCCTCCTGCCCCTAAGGTCTGGATATCCAGGGGGCCGAGGGCAGATGTGCAGTACTGAAGAGAGAAGCTGATTTTCTCCCTGTCCTGTACAAATCCGTAACTCTGTGCACAGTTGTTTGTCATTTTTGGTCTTGACTCTCATTCCAACTGCAGGAACTAAGAAAAAGTGCAGCAGCCTAGAAAGAAACATTGTAACTCAGCATTCCAACATGTGCTTACCAAGGTGCCGATTTCCGTGCCTGGGCACCAGGAGTGCATGAAGCTTCGTGCACTTCTGCAATTCTGCTGTTTGTTAATACCTCTATTATAAGATGGGCAGATATGGAGAGAGAAAACGATGTTAGCATTCCTTGTTAGCAATTTTTTGAAACCAGGTTTAGGTGAAGCTAAAGGTTGAAACTAATAACTAGCAAGTTTCTGAATCATTGGCTTTCTACCTCATTTTTTTAAAAAAACTCTTTCAATGGAAAATGTCAAACATATACAAAAGTAGGGAATGTGACCATCACTCAGTTTGAACAGTTATCATCTCATGACCTATGTTGACAGGGCCCCTCCTTTTGTTCTCCATCCCCCTAAATTATTTTCAGGCAAATCCCAGACATCATTTTAAGGACTTGTTTGAAAATGCCTTTTTTTTTCATCCCAAGAACTGAGACTCAGCTACTTAAATAATATCATCTTCCCCAAAGTAAAAAACAATCTACCAAAGTGCCATGTGGCCAGGCAAAGAAATCAATCTACTTAACAGCTGGAATGATTGGATCGTGTGGTCCCACTCACCAACGCCTTGGCCTTAACCTTTCCACCCTTGTTTGTGCCCTCCTAGGGGCCCCTTCACCGAATCAGTCCTTTAGTTGGAACTTTGCTGTAAATGCTAAAACAGCAGTTCTTTTTGCCTGTTTAACCTCAGAGTCCAGCAAATTCAATCTAAGGGTAAAGAAGGCTGTGTGTCTCCTTTGAGATAGTGTGTGGACTGAGTGTTCTTAATGCCATTCTACCTGATGAATGAGATGAGGAGACAGTCCGGCCAGACCCAGGAGAATAGAAGGACTGAACACTTAAGAGACTAATAAAATCCTGATTTTTCTATTTCCTTTCCTAGCACAAGCCTAGATTCTGCAGGGAATAGATAACCAGCTAATATGTATCATTTGTTGATGAAAATATATGAGGCATGATATCATAACCAGATCCCAAAGTTTAATGGAATAAAAAGAAGATCTACATCTTCTGACATGGACCATCACCCAGCCAGATGCTGGATAAGATCGAAATAGGAAAATGGAACCCTAGAGTAAGAATCAGATAGCTCCTGGCAGGTGAATTGGATATGCTCAATGTTGTGTAACATCAGGAACGTCAAACAATGGCTGCCAAGAACCCTCTCTTGGTTATTTGTTCTCCCTTTTACCCATTAATAATTCAGTGTCCCCGGGGATATAAGATTGCAGGCCTTAAGAAAAACTTCTCACACCTGGTTTGCTTTATTCCAAAAGCAAGGAAGCATTTGCCCGAATTGTCCTTTTCTCCACTATAAGACAAAAAGCAGAAGTGGGAAAATCAGAGAAGGGTAGACTCATATCCTGCTGTGCCAACCAACATT